AAAAAAGGCATATTAGATATATATGAGTTTGCAGTTCAGGTGATACATCTAGTCTGGAAATATAAATTTGGGACCACCACCACTACCACTCATTGTCATCGAGTTGACTCCGACTCATAGTGACCCTTAAGGACAGAGTGGAACTGCCCCATAGGGTTTCCAAGGAGTGCCTGGTGGATTTGAACTGCCTACCTTTTGGGAGGCACCAGCAAACAGCATTTAAACAGATGGCATTTAAAGCTCTGCAATGGGACGCTATTTCGTGAGGGACACAATTAGTCCTGGGGTTCTCCTCCCTTAAGAGGCTAGGAAGATAAAGAGGAATCAGTGAAGGAGACTCAGTAAGTCAAGCACTGTGGAAAACACAGAGTTGTGGGATGAGGGAGAAAGACAAAAGCCAAAAGGGCAGCAAAGAGATTGTTTTCAATCTAGGATGGTTTTAAAAAACTATCTTGCTTACAAAATCAATCTTGTACCTTACTGAATGTTCCAAATAAACTAAAATGGACAACTCCAGGGAACTCAATCCCTTTCTAGATAAGGATTCTGCTAGACACCAAAAATGACATATATGACTGACAAGCTTGGCCCTATTTAAAAAAAAAAACTCTAATTAGGAATCCAGTACCCAAACTCACCAAAGAAATAGAATATGCTGCAACCTACTTCTTCTATGTTTGATGTTCTCATCAAATTAAGGCTTACATGGAGTTAAAGGTAGTAGAAAAAATAAAAGAATTAATAAATATCTTCCCCCACGAAAAGTGACCATGTTTCAGTGTAAATCCGTACCACTATCAGATAAACAAGAGTCAATACCATCATCTGTTGGAGGAATGGGTGTTAATACTGTTTTCTCTAAACCTTGCTACTCAGAACAGCCAACCAGGACAGCTTTGGGAGTGGAAAAGCTTCCCGAGAGCCTGTGTTCCAGTGCTCTTATCAGTCAGTACACATGCTCAACACCTGCTCCCAACAAATTCTTGGGTGTAGACAATACACCTTAACTGCCCAGGCAATTCCCTAAGGTTATTTTTCCAAAAACTAAGGGCAACAATCAAATAAGGGAGTTCATTGCACCACACCAGGTGATATGAATGCACCCTACACTTTGAGAAGGGCTGGTCTGAATGCCTCAACGATGGTCTTCACCACATCATCAGATTTCATCCACCTCACTGAAAAAGGCACAGGCCTCGTGGCATACACATTCTTCCTTACCCTCAGCCTTGCTGACCTAGCTGAGAGGGGTAAGAGGGGTCCTAGGATGCTCCGTTGATCCTGCTTCCAGCACAGGGCCAGTATTTTAAACTTATTTCTTAGATGTTTCCCCAAATGAAATACCTTCATGTGATTTACCAATTCCATTTATTCAGCCAGAACATTTTCATAAGATTATCAACACATCATTTTAATCTGTACATCGGTATTCTTCAAAATCACTATCAAAAAGATTTTTGAGATCGTTTGGTCAAAACTTTCAAATTCAGGACACCGCTTCATCGATTCATATTCATTTTCCTATGTCCAAATCACATACTGGAAACCAAAGACACAACAAAAAATATTAGTCCGAAGGACTAATGGACCACATGAACCACAGCCTCCACCACCTGAGACCAGAAGAACTAGATGGTGTCCTGCTACCACCACCAAAAGCTCTGACCGGGATCACAATAGAGTGACCCAGGCAGAGTGGGAGAAAAATGTAGAACGAAATTCAAGTTCACAAAAAGGATCAGACGTACTGGTCTGACCGAGATTGAAGGAACCCCTGAGACTACGGCCCCCGGACACCCTTCTAACTCAGAACTGAAGCCACTCTCGAAGTTCACCTTTCAGTCACAGATTAGACAGGCCTATAAAACAAATAATAACACACATGAGGAGCATACTTCTTAGATCAATCAAGTATACAAGACCAAATGGGCAACACCTGCCTAAAAGCAAAGACAAGAAGGCAGAGAGGGACAGGAAAACTGGAAACAGGGAACCCAGGGTGGAAAGGCAGAGAGTGCTCACACATTGCAAGGACTACAATAAATGTCATGAAACAAGTTGTATATAAATTTTTGAATGAGAAACTAATTTTCTCTGTAAACTTTCACCTAAAGTACAATTTAAAAAAAGAAAAAGAAAAGATTATATACGAGTTAATAGTAAGTCAAATAATTAAAAACCACTTTCAAGGTAGAAAGTTGCGAAGTCCAGTTTCCGTTTTGATTTTTGGTGGGCTAGCAACAGGCAGAGGGCAGCATAACCCTACATTACACAAACCAAAGTAGAAATTCGACAGTAATGGAATAGCATTTTGCTTAAGTTCTTATTTTATAACTCTTAATCAACCGAAGCAAACATACCTATCTATAAACCAATACCTTAATTACAATCTCCTACATGATCTTATTTATTTTTTTAATGAAGCTCCAAGTTATATATTTAAAAGGGTTACCAAAAATTAAGGATACTGATTTGTCTTCAAACTCAAAAACAAATTAAAAAAAAAAAAACTACCTTTCAAAAAATCATAAAGAATTGACTTTACAGTATTCTGGCACTGAACTAAGGCAAAATAAAATATTGATTTCTATTTTATTGATTGCTGCCCAAATATGTACATAC